ATCCTTCTTCTCAAAAGTATTAGGTCATTGACTGTTGCTGCTACAATTTCATTCCCTAGATTTTTTTCTATATGTTACGTTAAATCTCCATTGAGCCGTTGAATCGCATTGGAAGATGATATGGGTGGCTATTTCCTCCTCTTCATTAGATAAACTGCAGATGGGATCATCGGGTATGCCCATGTTTGTAGATGTTTTCTCAGATGCCAGGTTAATAGTCCTATCCCTCTCCTGAGTCTAGCCCTCTCCTTTTGTAGCAGTGAGTTTGCCAGTCTTGGTGAGGGTTGTTTCATCATTAGTATGCCTTTCTAGGACTGTTGCTGCTACAATTTCATTCCCTAGGTTTTTTCTATATGCTAGGTTATGTCTCCATCGAGCCGTTCGCATTCGAGGATGTTATGAGTGGCTGATTCTTCCTACTAATTATATAATCTGTAAATGGGATCATCATTATGTACGCCTATGTTACGTTATGCTTTGTTGACGTTTTCTCAAATGCCAGGTTAATAGTCCATTTACGGTGGGACACTTTGTGCATGCAAAGTGTTAAGCTTAAGGATTGTTTAAAATAGTATTTTCATATAAAAGGGTTTAGGGGTAGTCGGATACAGTGTTTGTGTCGGCCCTTTGAAATAGACAAAAAGTAAATGGGGCAATTGAGGTGAAAAGAGACAACATATTGGATCCTGTTATAAACGGCATAATGAGACGTATTGTGTTGCGGCGGGGGTCCGAATAAAATCAAGCAGTTGTGAGTTTGTTTGGCCGAGAAGGAAGTGAGAATTATTGAACGTCGAGAAGGGGCGGATAGCCGAGCCCAGGAGGGGGCGGATGGAAGAGAGGAACCCGTTTAAAGTCGATGACAATTAAACGGTCCCCTGGGTGGCAGATGGGAGGAAAGCAATTAGGAGGATGATCCCCGATGGTTACGAACCGTTTCTCATTCGACCCTCACCCACTACAATTTTTTTTCCACCCTCCCTCTTAATTCGCAAACACCTTCAACTAACTAAGCCTCCCAATGAATTCGTTATGGCCTCTCCCCATGAATTTTTCATGAAAAACAAAGGAAATATTTCAAAAGAAGGGATTTTGGGAAGCTTCGCTCTAGGTTTTGTTTTGATTAATTCTGTTTGGATCGGTGCACTCACCTCGGCACGCGCCAGCCGAAAAGCTACTTTCGATCTCTCGGCGCCAACTGTAACCCGGACAATTCATGGACAACCCAAAAAAGAATCAGAAGTCTCACTGATTGTTATAATCAAGTTAAATAAAATTCAAGTTTTAGTCATTTCATCGACATTTGCCACTTATTTACACCGACTAGCCCGATGGTACGAGAAGGAGCAAAACGTTGTACCACTCCGATAATAAAAGGGGGAGAGATGCGAAGTGACATGTGGTACAAACATTTGAACCTCGGACAAATCCATTGAAACGCTCCCTAATGTGATTATAGCTTCCCAGCATCCAGAGGGTCATGTTTGCATACACCACCCGGGCATAATTCAATATAGGATTAGGACAATTAGGAGTGGGTGGGGCGGCTGAAGAAAGAAACCCGTAGTATGCGAGGGTGCTGTAAATAAGGGACTAATGAATACCAATCCAATCCCCTCATCTTCTGATCCTGCGCTAACTTATATATTATGATGACAACTGCCCGCGAAATTCCACTGTAACCGCATAAAAGAAAAGTTTACCATGTATAAGTAGCAATATGTACATCAGAAATACTTTTATACTGTCATATTTTTCTTGACGTCTGCCTGTTGGCCTATCTACCTTGGTTGTTTTGGTCTCCCGGAATCTCAATACCTGTTTTCTGGCATCACTCTTATACTCAGACAACCACTGAAAAGCATCTATCACAAAAAAATGCGAGGATCGGGACTGGGATCAAGCTTCATCGTCATATGTGTAATTTGATCGTTTTTCATCATTCAAGTTCATCTGTCCTCGCTATTATTAGCCTGTCAGATACATTTCTATATTTAGCCATTTCACTTATGGATTAGGGAAATAAGGAGGTTGAGACAGTAACAAGAAACAATCGCTGAAGAGACGAAACGCCGAAACATGTCTCACAGAACTAATTATACCTAGAATATAAGGACCGGGATGAGTAAACTAGAAATGCGTATGTGCAGTTTGGTTGTTTCTTATCATTCAGGTCCACCTACCCTCGCTTTTTTAATTTGTCAGATTGATTCGGCATTTAGCCATCTTCAGTAGTGGGTTTGCGTTTGTTCCTCAACCCTTCTACGCTGATGATACAAACAGGGTGAGGCAACAACACAAACAAATTACGCGTCTGACAAACTGACAAAGCAAGGATAGGAAACCACGTTAATTCATGTCGCCACCTTCATTGGTGGGTCAGGGAAATAAGCAAGGAAAGACAGTAACAAGAATGGCGAAATGATAAATGACAAGTTTGACCATTTCCTAACAGTCTTCTTTTCTCGTTTCCGTCGTTTCTGATCAATCTGTTCTGCCTATCCTCCCTGTTTGGAGTTCTCATACATGTTTGAGTGGTGAATCAGGGTTTTAAGGAGGGCGAGGTACAAACAAGAATACACCACTGAAGACGATGGAATGCCGAAACGCGTCTGACCAACAAAGCGAGACTAGGCAGACGAAAATACAGGCTCATCAGCAGTTCTCAAGAGAAAATGGTTTTCTAGTGCTTTAAAATCTTCCAATGCTTTTTCTTATCGGTACTTTTTAAACAAACGTGTAGTACATCACTATTTTTCCACTTTAGTACTGGTTATTTAAAAAATTCCATTTCTATATTTAGTGTGTGTGGTTATAAGTGACCGATAATCGATATTTATTTAGAAATCGTGAGATACGGTCTGGTGTGATGTAGGTTTCAGAAAAACATTTTCTTTGTCGTGCCAATGTTTCGACCTTTATTGACGTTCGTCCCGTTTATCGATCATCTTCAGGACTCAGAGTTTGTCTTCTGTGTAATTGTGCCATTCTTGCGAAGAAGAAAATTTTTTTCTGAAACCTACATCACACCGTCTGTGCCTTCAGTGCCGCTCCTAAGCCATATCTGGCTCCTTGCAGCTTCTTGGCTTGCGCTGCTAATAGCTTTTTCGTTTATAGACGGAAGCTATGCTTTATTCTTTCCTCTCTCTTTATTCTATTCTATTTCACAGACGGTCGCATCTCTACTCCACTTAACGAGCTCTTCGTCACAGTACAACCTGCGTCCGGGATGGGCCTCGCGGAGGCGGCTCGCTTGGGATTTAAGTGGAGGAGGAAAATGACTCGTATCGTCTTTGCTCTTTTGTCTATTTAGGTTTCCAACCTTTTCTCTTCATTATACGCTTCCAAAACTGTTGAGACGTCTTTAGCCCAGCAGGCGTACTTATTGTTTGTCTCAGCACCTCCATATTAGCTGTTTGAAACCATCCCTACATCACACCAGACCGCATCTCACGATTTCTAGATAAATATCTATATTTAGTTCAAATGCTAACACTTCTTGAATTACCTTGGTCCGTCAGTCCTCGTTGGACTAATTAATCATAGCACTAGTCGTTGAAATATAATCAGTGAAAAATGGTTGGGATTTCTAATATCACATCATAAATATCGACTTCCTCGATACGTTAATATTTATTGCTAAAACGTACAACAATTATTTGGATTGCTCCGTGTCTCTCGTCAGATCCGATGTCTTCTTGACAAATTCGCCCTTTTTAAAAGGTATTGCCACTTTTTTATCCGAGGAAGAGATTTATCGACAGAGAGATACGGGGGACGGGCACGTTTGTTTTGTTTGGATTAGAGAGTTTTGTCCATAGGAGGGACACGAGTCGGAAATAAAGTGAGTCTTCTTCTCCCCATTGTTTGAAAGGGTCAAATTAGCTCGAGGATTGTGAGTTTCTTTCTGTCCCGTTTATCGTTCTTTATAAAATAATACTCGTTTATACCCTTTCGGGCTGTAAGAGATGAGATTTTTACTTGAGGTCGGTAAGGGATAGTCCGAGGCCAGTCTGTTGGACGGGTTATAAAGGGATATAAACAAGGTGAAGAACCAACACTATCCCATTATTGAATATGGCTAGGTACGAAAACGCGTCCGCCAGAATATCATAACGATAATTACGGTCGTTTCCGGTCATTCTAGTCCTGCCTATTCTCCCTGTGTTAGTCGGTCACAGTCCACCAAACGTGGTGATGACAGCCTGCAGTCCTCAAGTGGAAATTTCACAAAGTTTAAGTCATTTGCGCATCAGCTCATACACAGGAAATGATTTGGGTGTCACATTGTGAATAAATAAGGGGTGGGGTATAAGGTGGTGAGCCGCCGGCACAAACTCACCACTGAAGATGGCGAAATTTTCCAAGTGTCGGAAAGAACAAAGTAGCGAGAATGGTGGACCAAAATGATCGAAAACAGACAAACTACAAAAACAGGTGTTGAGTTGTGTAGAGGTGTTTATTTAAGTAGAAATCCCTCAATGATATTCGTCTTTCCATCCTTGCTGGATTGGTTTGCCAGACACGTTTTGTCATTTGGCCTTCTTCAGTGGTAAGAAGAGTGAGACGATTGTAGGAACCAACCATGAAAACAGCGAGGATAGGCGGACCGGGTCGAAAACGAACCAACTTCCAAGTTTATCAGCCCGAGTTTCCTCAAGGTATTTTCATATCCGCTCATAAAATCATTTTGGTGTCAGCTTACGTACAATGCACACTCGACAATGTCAGAGGTATAAACTATGGACCAACACACACCGCTAAATGCGCGCATCGGGCAGATCAAAACAACTTGGCAGATTTGAACGAATGGAAACAACGTTGCTTGACTTGATTTTAAAAAGAAAATGTAATTTTGTAATTAATATAGTATATAAACTTATTATTTTTGTCTTGTCTTTTACTATTATTCATTGATTAGAATCAATTGTGTGATTGATTGATATTTGAATTGATATTTTTTTAGTTTATATTTAAAATTGTACTCCAATTTGTTACAGAAGCACACCATAGCCTTTTGGGGAAAACAAGAAGGCCCAGGACGGCATTCACCTCTCAGCAGTTATTAGAATTAGAAAAACAGTTTAGGCAAAACAAATATCTCTCCAGGCCGAAGAGATTCGAAGTGGCCACCTCCCTCATGCTCACCGAAACACAGGTAACCAGCCATTAGTTACCGGATTCCTGACCGATTTTACAACGGGTTTAATCGCCACGTCCGTCTGATTTGATTCTAGGTCAAAATATGGTTCCAAAACAGGAGAATGAAATGGAAAAGGAGCAAGAAAGCCCAGGCGGAGGCAAAAAGCCCCAAGGAAGAACATCAGCAGGAGAAACCGACGCGGGAGGAGAGGTCGCCTTCGGGCATGCTACAACCGACGACTGAGGACACCCACTTATACAGGCCGTACGTCGCTTGATACTCCGGTGGACCTGTGAAGACAAATTTGGAAGAAATTCACTTTTGATTTCCAGTAAAGGCGCCCAGACAATCGTCTTTTTCGGTTTTAATTAGGAGTTCTGAGACTGGAATTTCCAGACTGGGGAGGGGGGTCGACCGATGGACACCCAGCAAAGATATCCGATAAGAGTACCAAACGTGCTTTTTTTTAAATCAAATTTCATTTGACTATTCATCTTTGATTTTGGTTTTCTGCTCAATTTTTATTCTGATGATGTTTTTTGGAGACTCCATCTTTAACTCTTTCTTGTTAATTTTTCCTTTTATTGTTACCACCTTTTGACGTGTTAGTTCTACAGAAACTATTCTTTTTTTCTCATAATTTTTCTGTTCTTATTCGTCATTTTAACATTGATCACTCGGATAATTGAAATTTCTTATTCACTCCTTGAGAACATTTTATTGCACTTTGATATTGCTCATCATCATATGTGTTTTGCATTATTCTTCTTTTAATTTACCTAATTATGATGATATTGGTGTTACAACACAGAAAAAAACCCGCAGTGACTTCATACAGTTACTACTACAATTCTGATTTATGGTTTATAATCAGTAATTTTTGTTCATACACCAAAGGCCAAGAGATAAAATTTCCATCCTGTAATGAAACAATCAGAAAGCTCGTTTTTTTTTTTTTTTTTTTTAATTACTCGTGTACGATCCCCTTTTCGATTCATTCGAGGGATTAAACAGTGTTAAGTGGTAATGATCTCCATATTACAATAATATATAATTTTTTTCCTTATCATTGTGTATATAAAAATAGGCATTCCTTTAGGTCCGTTATTGAAATTTGTTATTGTAATTTGTAAAGTAAACAATTGTACAAAAGAGAAAACATAAGACGACTTGTATATATAAGAAATCAGTATTGTCGTTCAATTAACAAAAAAATAAATGTATACGTTCGAAACGGCAAAATCATTGTAAAAAAATATGTAATTATATTATTATATTATAGTGATTAAAATGGTGGGTTTTCTTATGTATTATTGCCCATTCTCAAACGGCACGGTATTATTTCGTGGTTTTATCTTTATTCTGGTCCGCATGTTCCCGCTGTTTAATTATGTCAGGCGTATTTCGTCAAATAGCCTTCTAAAATTTATGTCTGCGTGTTATAAATCGGGTTAGTCTTAAAAATGGGCTTTGAAGGAAAGGAAAAACATTTTGAGCTTCACCCTGTTTATATCTTGACGGATTAAGCTGAAAGCCACAGCGGTAGTGCTAGTAGCTATAGTCGTATTGATGGTACCAGAAGTTTGAATGTTCAGTGGCCACATTCAAGATGAAATTTATGAAGGTTATGGGCCCGATTGTACAAACATTTTCGAAAACTGCAGCTATTAACGTCAATTTGAAGGAGTGCAAGGAAATTTGTCGTTCTTAGATACACCACTTGGCACTTGTCTTCTTTCCTCACATTCATCAGGCGAAAACATGGATTTTCCACATCTAAATGCGAACCGGGTAATTCTTCAACGGGTTATGGTGCATCAGGGTGTAAGCAGGCCAAGGGACGATACATATCCATCTCTGAAAATGGCGAAACGTCAAAACGCGTCTGTGTCAGATCAACACAACATTAATAAATGACATATACACCCCAAAAGACGGTCTAGGGATGGGAAAAGTATTTCTCCAAAACCTCGAAGAAAATCACTTCCCAGAAATAATGGCAAAAAACGGAATACTCCATCTATTTAGATACGTCGACGACATACTAGCCATCACAAACAACTCTTCCCCTGAAAACACACTCAGAGACCTCAACACAATACACAAAAACATTACGTTCACTATAGAAACCGAAAACAACAACAGCATCAACTTCTTGGACTTAACACTCACCAGAACCAATAACAAAATCGACTTCAAAATATACAGAAAACCCACTGCTACAGACAACATAATAAATGCACAATCCAACCACCCACACCAACACAAACTTTCAGCACTGCGACACATGATACACAGGCTAAAAACAATCCCACTCAACACCGAAAACTACAACAAAGAACTGCAAACAATAACTAACATTGCAATAAAAAACGGCTACAAAACAAACACCATACAGAAACTCCTAAAAAACAAAACAAAACAACGAAACACAAATCAACAACAAATGGACAACATTCACATACACAAGAAAAGAAACCTACAAACTAACAAATCTGTTCAACAAACTCGGACTGAAAACAGCACTAAGGACCAACAATAACACAGGTAAACTACTAAAAAGAAACATAGACACAACTAACCCGCTCGACAACAACGGTGTTTATAGCATCACATGTCAATGCGGATACACTTACATCGGACAGACTGGAAGGAAACTAAGAGATCGATTCAAAGAACATCTTAGATCCTTCAGAGACAATGACGGAAAATCAAATTACGCCACACACTTAATACACTACAACCACGAACCAAACACAATAGAAACAAGCATGACATTAATACACAACGCACAAAAAGGACGAAAACTAAACATACTGGAGAACCTCGAGATATACAAACAAATAACACTTAAAGACGGAAAACTTATAAACGCACAAACAAACTCACAATCACACACCACCTTCACACCACTAAAAACACTCCATAACAAAAAACGAAAACGTTCAGAAGAACAAAACCTCGCAACCAACACCAGGAAAAAACAAAAAACCGACAACGCACAAATAATAACTGACAATGAAAATAACCGCCTAACGCAACGCCTCCAGCGACAAGCGACGGACGCAACAATATATAAACCCCACTCAGACTGAATGACAGACAGTTTTTCACTGAAGATGGCGTAATGCCGAAACGCGTTTGAATAACTCAAACAAAAAACCTGCGAGTGAAGACAGAACCAGTAGTGCCCGTGTGCCGGTTCAACATGAGTTCGCCAACTCGCAGACCAAACCCCATCATCTACTATTAATAAATGCACCAAACGTTTTTGATTACCACGTTTCCGGTCATTCTTACCTATTCTCCCTGTATCAGAATGTCAGATGTCAAGAGTATATCTCACAAAATTTAAGCCATTTCACATCGACTCGAAAAATGACTAAGGAGTCACTTTGTGAATAAATTAGGGTTAGGATATTAGCAGAGTCACAAATAACCCCGGAAGATGGCGAAACGCATCTGACCAGAGTTGTTGTCTATCGAATTGGTTATGGTGCGTCAGGTGTATAAGCAGGGTGAGGTCACAACTAACCACGGAAGATGGCGAAACGCATCTGACCAGGGTTGTTGTCTATTGAACGGGTTATCGTGCGTCAGGTGTGGGGGACCAAAACGACCCTTAACTCTGAAGATGACGAACTCCTAAACGGGTCCGCCAGATCAACACTACGAACGTCGTTTTTGTGATGAACCTGTAGTTTTGGTGGTTTCCGGTCCTACCTATTCTCGCTGTGTTAGTCTGACAGAGTCCACCTAGCCAACTGATGGCGTTCCTCAGACGTCAAGAAGAAATTTAAACAAAATTTAATCTTTTTTCACATCCGCCGATAAAATTATTTCTTTCTCACCTTGTGAATAAATCGGTTTAGGATTTAAGGATTGTTAGGTATAACACGGGTCATGGCCTAATAGGGATATAAGCACTTCACAAACCCACCTCTGAATATAACGAAACGCTTAAACGTGTCTGTTAGACCACGTAACGATAATAAATAGACCAAAAGTCGTTTTTGTAGACCTGCGGGTCATGAAGCTGTAGTTTTGGTCGTTTACGGTGAATCAGGTCCTTCCTCTTCCTGCTGTGTTAATGTGTTGTTCACCTGGTGATCGCTTCGCTCAGATGACAAGAGGGAATATAAACAAAATTTAAACCATTTTTACATCCGCCGGTAAAATTATTTTGGAGTCACCTTGTGAATAAATTAGGCTAGGGTTATAAGTAAGGTGAGGTCACAAGTAATCACTAAGATAGCGAAAAGCGTCTGACAGACCAGTCCAGCTGATACAGACCAAAATGATCGGTAACGACCAAATTCCACTGTAATATTGCTTTACCCACGCAGCCTTCTCCTCACTGGAGTACATTTTGAATAAACTTACCAGTACTTACCAAGAAATTCGTTTTAATTAGAAAATGAAGGAAATGCACCAGGGTCTATTTAGGCAAGTGGAAAATGCACCACCCTGTATGTTTTTGTTTCAACTTTTGCTTGTTGTTAAAAAAAAGTAAGGTAATACATTTGTTAAGTACCAAAAGTGATCGATGATAGTTATGTTTTATACATTTAATGTTTTCCTTTTATAATATGTATACGTCGAGATTAAAAATAATCTTTTGCTTTGTATTCGATTGGACAATAAAGTTTAAAAGTTGGCTTAAAATTTCAAACGATTATTGTCTTCCAATAGTAATCATAGGTTCAGGGGCATGATAAGTAAGTGGAATTTATATAACTGAGATTGTGGGTCGTTTCCTACTTTGCCAGTCTGGTGGAGGAAAGGGGTGCCTGTGGTAAATGTTGAAATTCAGCCGAGTCTAATCATGGCCACTCTCTTCACTCTTACTACTTGAGAGGGCTGCGGGGGAGGCTAATGGAGGAGCGGAGAAGAGCGAAGGGCCATCATCATGATGATGAGGAAAGTGGTGGCGTCGAGGTAGGGGAGGACACAAGGCAATTATACCCTCCCACACTACTACAATGGCGCCCTCATTAGACAGACAGATTTCCCAAAGGGCTTCTTCCTTCTCCCTCTCCGTTTATGCCTTCTCTTCGCCATGGCCCTTCTTCACCGCATCCTCGACTCCATTCAAGGAGCTCGTTACAAATCCTTATGGACGACTTTAACAAAACAATAAAAATCGGGGATTTATTATCTAACGACCAATAACCGAGCACCTTTCCTCTAGACAAGACATACTACACGGTATGGGCAAGTTTATTTTATAGATATGCAAATGGTGATGGTGATGCCCGGACTGAAGATCAGAAAACGAAAAACCAGCACGATAAAGCAAGAAGTGGTTTTGTATAAAAGAATGGATTGGGAGTGGCTTTAGCCACGAACAATCGGTAGCAGAGCATCAGATAGGGTATAAGCAGGGCGAAGCTCCAACACAAAGCCAAGACGATGTAAAACGTTAACTATCGTATTAATAAACGTGTAAGTTGGTCTGCAGTATCGTTCCTCGCTGTTTTGTTTTGCCAGATTCATTTTGTCATCTTCACTCGTGGATCAGGGAAATAAGCAGGGTGAGGCTCCAATACAAAGGCAAGACGATGTAATCCATCCAGGTTGACCTTTATCGATCTAGGGATGTAAAGGAGAATGAGGATGGGATTTTAAAAGTAATGCGATCTTCAGACGCGGATTAGCTTTTACAATTGACTCTTGTACGTTTGATACTTTTTTATTCAGGAGAGAAGGAAATCTAAGAGTCAGGAGATAAGCAGGGTGAGGCTCCAACACAAAGGCATGACGATGTAAAACGTTAAATAGTAACAAACGTACTCGGTAGTTTCCGGATACTCTGTACCACTCTTCTACGCTATTTCAGTTTGTTAGAAGCATTTTGCCACCTTCAGATCAGGGGTATAACAGACATAAAGCATCGACCAACACAATGTAAAACTTTAACTAGTAATAATCGGGTAACTTGGTCGTTTCCTTTTATTCAGAAGTACCATTGCTCACTGTTTTGCTTCGTCAAACGCGCCATGTTCAGGTCAGGGATATAAGTACGGTGAGATACTAACCGATACCAACTAACAACTATTTAAAATTGTACTAATAATAAATGCATAGATTGGACGTTTTCGATAAGTCTGGAGTAACATTTCTCACTGATTCTATTCGTCAGACGAGTTTTGCCATCTTCAGGTCAGGGATATAAGTACGGTGAGACACTAACCGATACCAACTAACAACGATTTAAAATTGTACTAATAATAAATGTATAGATTGGACGTTTTCGA